ACGATAGCACCCCATCGTCTCCCTTTCAAAATAAGGAATGCAATGCATTTTAAAAAAAATTACATTCATTTATTAATGTTTTCCACTTCAGAGAAGTAAAAAACTGAGGGGAAGGACGGGGGGGGGGGGGGGGGGGGGGGGGTGGCAGAGAAACAAATCACATCAAGGAAATGAGACTCTTTCTTCCATATAAAATCAAGAGATTCGGTGAACAAAAGGTAATTTCTATACAAGTTTGGGGGATTACCACACCTACAGTAGGTAACCTCTAGAGGTCAATCATTGTTCCCCTGAAAGATGTGTACATTGTGTACATGTACATGAACATGTACTGTAACATTAAGCGGGCTCCAGTTTCTTACAATGGTACTTTACTATTTTGACAAAAGCTTTTAATAAAGGCATTTTTTAACCTTGTTTCCAGTTTTACAAATCTGAGATGAGTGGTTCAACGTGTCAGTGTCTGTGATATGGTGTAATATTGAAGCCCTAAAAAAATTGCGCTTCAAAATGATCATGAAGTGCCTCTAAAAAGTAAAAATCTTTGAGTGACCGATTTTACCATACAGGTACTCATTTTCCCCAATAGACTGTAGACCTACATGTACATGTACATGTAGTGTTATAAAAAACCGTTCAGAAAACGTTTTTTGAAATTTTGAATAAATATAAATATCTTGATAATCAGACAGGCGATAGGCTTGTGAAAATCATGGGATTCCTGACTGACCTAAAGGTTTATAATTATGATTGCAGCATGAGCTAAATCCAGGATTTTGTTTAAAATCTGAGGCAAGTGTACCCAATCCCTTTAAAACCCTACGATGTACTTAGGCCTGCTGATTGTTCATTCACGGAAAATGCAACTTTTAATGCGATTGATACGACGGACGATAATCTCCCAAAAGATTTGCTATTAAAGTTGCAATCAAACACAAGATATAAAGTCGTACTGAAAGTACACTGGAATACTGCACCATGCATGGTGAGTGCGCTGCAACTTCTTTTCTTTAAACTTGCCAGTACACTACAAAACATTGTTCGGGTATGATCGAGCCATTTCTTTATGTTGGATACAGCAAACAATTGTTCTCGCCTACTGCCTTGCTCAATGTTGAACTTTACAGGCCTGCACTGTATGCATGTGATGTAATGTACACGTTTGTACATTTGGGCTACCTACATGTAGCGCTACTGACTGACTGGTGAAGCGTAACGTTTATTTAGTGGTGTAGCCTACATAATTTAAACACTTAAATCACTAAAAGAGCATCAATCCGGCAAATGATAAATGACCTGGCACTGCAAAATCCTATACTCAGTCAGTGATTGTAAAACCTGGTGACAAAACCAGGAAGTGCCTACTCAATATTAAACTATGCAGAGTTCAAAATACACAGATAATGCATGGCTATGGGTATGTTCATGCACATGTAGTATGTATCAATTCAGTTCTCTGATAATTTCCCTCTGGTACTGTACATGTAGTATCTGTATGATACAGATGTGGAGTACAGTAAAGCTTGCAGTTGGTCAAATGGTTGTGTAACATTCATGTACACATGTACATGTACATGTACATGTACAATGTAGGCCCTAGTGCCCTCCCTACAATGTACAGACTGAAATTAACAACCATGTACACTGTACATCCTGTATATGTACAAAGTAGGTCAAGCGTGTAAAAATATAGTGGTTGATTGGTTTGTTTTGAGTTGACAGAAAATATGGAGGGGGAGGGTTAAAAAATACATGTATGTAGCAATATCCTGGCACAGACAGGTCTCAACTCAAATACCTATAAAACTAGGGCCCTTGGTGATTTCACCCCTTAAAGACTGTCAATACTACTGGGCCAGAAGGGATTAGACCATACAGCGAGGTCACTGACAGGTGGCTATCTCATTAGCTCAGCTCTCAACTAATATAAGAAAAAGAGAATCATGGGGGACCAACAGGCACCCATTGGGGAAGTTTTCTATATAGAGGGAGCAAGTAGCCACAAGTAAGACAGTGTGCCTTTAAATGTTGAACCTAATGAAATTGACTCTATAGGCCCATTCTCACAGCCCAACAACTATTTAGAAAAAAAACATTGTTGTTTGATGACAGAACATTTGTAACTGCTCGGAACATAAGTTCTGACCAGTGACTAGTGGATTCTGTGACTCCATTCTAAACATTCCCGACCTTCATACTTGTGAAATGCAGTCTCATGCATCAATGCCAGTTCAGTGTTGTTTCTATTATTCTTCAGGAATGGTGTCAGCAAAGAGGTTCTATTCATATGCCGATCTCATGACCCGATACAAAAAAGAATTTGATCACATCCAGTTGCATATATCATAAGTTCCTTTATAAAGTGAAACCCAAAAATGTAGGGCTGGTAAATATTAAACTTTGCTTGTGCTTGGTACATGTATTCACATTTTTGTAACAACATACTGTACTGTACACCGAAGGAGAGGAAAGTGACAAAGAATAACAGAAAAAACTATGGAACATCCACATATTTTTAGAGTAACAGAAAAACTATGTAACATCCACATATTTTTTTAGAGAAAAAAAGAATTCTGGTTAATTGTAACATACATGTACATGTTAAAGATTCAAACAAAATGTTTTTTACAACTACATGTACATGTAATAAGTAGTGAGTGTGTCAAGTTATGATTGCAGGATAATTACAACCCATTTCTATTTTAATATCAATCCAGTTGATGACAATATGAAACATGACACAGAAAGTCAGAAGGAGCAAGCCTACTGTACATTTGTACAGTACATGTACAGGGAATGTGTTTTTCTGAGACTACATACATGTACATTACACAGCGGGAGAATTAGTGAACAGCAATGCGACACTTTCTTATCAACGAGAACTGTCAGCTGCATAGAAAGCGGATATGAAAGTAGTGCCAATAATAACAAAACATTCACTCTCACTGCTATTATGCACAAGACACTTGGGTTTTAAATGTGACAAGGACAACTACTTTAATAGCATTCACTTGAATATATTCCTTGTCAGCCAGACAAAGATAAACTAGCTCTAATTGCATTTATTATGCAAATTTTCTTTCTTCTTCTTCTTCTTCTTTTCCAACTCCTCCTCCTCCTTTTCTTCCTCCTCTTCCACCTCCTCTTTCTTCTTACTCCTCCCCTCCCCTCCCCCCCCCCCCCCCCCCCCCCCCACACTCTCTTCTCTCCCTCTCTCTCTCTCTCTCTCTCTCTCTCCCTCCTTCTCCCTCTTCCTCCCTCCTCCCTCCTCCCTCCTCCCTCCTCCCTCCTCCTTCCTCCGTCCTCCCCCTCCCTCCTCTGTACGAAAGAGTGATTAACTTGAGGACTTGCGAATTGCAATCAATCACATTTTTTATGAGATAGGGCCCTGGACGGATACTACAAAAGTTGTATGAACAAGAATGATCCCGTTAATTCTTGTACATGTATTTCATACAAGGGCTGTAATTTCTGTTAAGAAATTGCATAACTGTAACACTAAAAATAACCTGCTGTAGTGAATAAAACAACTGTTTTCTTCAAAGAAAATCAAGTCACAGCAACAGAATCTGGGCTACAAAATGTAACTGAGCATTATGGAGTCTTAGGATTAGCCTACAAAGTTAGGGGCAACTCAGACTCTGTGGAAAATCTGGGATGAATTGATCACGAATAGTGGGACCTGGGTGAATTTTCATATAGTGTACACATACAGTGTACATGTACATCTTTCAGAACATGTACATGTACATGTATGTACCAGTACCAGTGCTGTATTATTTGATGATAGGAATGTGTAAAATATTTACCGGTAGTAAAAGAAATGTTAAACATTTCATCAGGAGGGGCGCTAGGCCGAAAATGAGGATATTCCGCATGTACGATGATATCCTTGTAGACACGGGCAAAATGCATACTACAGTAAGAAATAAGGATTGCACGCATATTCGCGGACGTATTTTTTCCAGCGCTCTGTGGGTTTTGGGTTCCCGAACCGCCCGCTGGCAATGCTAAAAACGGATTTCGCATAATAAAATACGCCCAGTTCACCGTCTACTTTTATGGGATGTCCGTCTCATTAAACGTGAAAGTGTCTGTACAAAGTCAATGTGAAATACATCAAGAAAATCATTCGGAATCTGTTTTTTCGCATCGTAAACACGCGGATCGAAAATCTGAATCGTCAGCGAAAATGCGAACAATCCTTATTTTTGCGGACGCGTCTGTTCTCGTTAAAGAAGTCGATCCTCGTTTATGCGAACGATCCTTGTTCTCTTACCAGCGCCCCTACTGTTCATGAGGTGAAGTTCTAGAAACGAACGAACAATTCATGACCAATTAATGGTCCAGTGAGTACTAGAATCTATGCACTATTGCACTTCAACTCTTGAATTTGTTCTTTCTGAAGTTTCTCCAGCCAATGCCAAAGTCAGGTCATTACGCGTTACGTAAGCCAGGCAAAATAAAAGGTGAGCCACAGCTTATGTCAATGCGCAAGACAGTTTTCCAGGCTAGCCATCGTACGGCCAACCACCTTTTTTACATCATTTTGAAGGAAAAAAACAAGACTTTGACACTCACAGGTTTATAATAATTTTTCAAAGAGTTTCGTCTAGATATACAGCCTGGATGGGTATTGATATATTCAATATTGTGGTAGGGGCCTAGTCTACAAACAGTTATCAAAACAATATCATTATCAAAACAGACAAATTCACAAAATAGACAAAACCGAGGTAGATCTAACCTAGATCTAGATCTATCTCATTCTCATTTTCATTCATGATCATATGACATTAAACTAACAGGTTAGACTGACTCCTAATTCCTGAAAAAGGGCTCTCTTTTCCCTGGATTGATAGAGGAAAAATTAAACACACCAGGAAGTCGACAGACAGTCAGTGAACTGTGGTGTAGCACACAAGATCCACAAGGCACAACACACATTGCATGCCCACAATCACTGCACACAGTGCGCTGAACCCCATCCAAAATTTTACCTGTGAAGTTTGTGAACGTATGTTCGAGAGTTCTAAAGTGTCGATGGAGCCCGGTTTTATGTGGTTGAGCAAATGACACAGGATAACACCGTCCCGAAGAGTCTGTCCTAGATCGAAAACTTCGGCATCTTGATTCATAATCCTGTGATCGAATGGCAAAACGCCACATTCCACCAGCCATCTCGCACATAACCTCCATGATTCCATAGCCATTTTGTAAAAAGTGAAAACTTAGCCACTTTATCGCTGTGCCGACATAGTATTCTCTCACTTCCCTGTTCGAGGTTCTGAGTTTGCGCTGTTCCTCATTGCGGGACGGTTCCGCATGTTTCATGAGGGTACTGTGCGTGTCACAATGTACTGTCAGCGCAGCGAAATACATGTATATCGGATGGTATGTATTTTGTGCGCGACGTGGGATATTATGTTGCACAACTATTGCAAAATAATGCAGGAAATGGGTTTTCTCATTTTTCTGACTTCAGAAAAAGATCAATAATACTATATTCATCACCAGGATGTTAATTGTCCCTAGGCGACAGTGATATTGATTCATAAAATGAACATTATTAATATCTTTCTCGCTTTTTTCCCCCTCTTCATTTTGTTACTAGTTCTTCTTCAACTCTTTCTCTATGACTGTATACTTACTCTCGATCTGCATAATATTATGCCTCTGAAAGCGTTTTTTCTCATCCACTCTCCACAAAGACCTTATAAGGCCTAGATTTTTTTCTCGTTGTGTTTTCTTTGATATCATTCCCCCTTTTCATTCTCTCTATACCACCTCTCTGCCACCCAAACGCACACAATTCACAAGCAAAGTTCCTTTTATTTAGCATATTCCCCTCCCCAATCCAAGAAGGCGAGGGGTCACCCGGGGCAGCGGCGGCGATCCGGGGAGACGGGGGACCCCCCCCCCCCCTCAATTTTTTTTTTTTTTTTTTTTTTTGGGGGGGGGGGGGGGGTCATCCCCCCCTGAAAAATTGAAAAAGTGCAAAAAGAGATATATAGCAAATATGGACTAAAGACTGCAACACACTTGTAGACTCTGGAGGGCCCACGAGTGCAGCGTTTAGACCATAAATAACAATGCAAAAATCTTTTATCGCTCAGTCGCTACCCTCCCTCACATATCCTTTAAAATATACAAGTAAATATTGCAGAAAAGCTGTATTCCGTGATCACCGTGATACCCACTAGCGTACTGATGGGGGGGGGGGGTTGCCTCCCCCAAATAAAATTCAAACGCGGTTTATTTCTAATTCGATACCAGTGACTTACAAATTAAATGTTGTTGAAATGATATGATTTTCCAAGATTTTTCCTCACATTTTTGTAAATTATACTTTTTTTTTTATTATACTCGAGCCCCCCCCCCCCCCCACTTTTTTGAAAAAGTATGTTAAAGAGACATAGAAAGAAAGACAAAATAGTGGCTTGCCAGTGTCACAAATAAGATATCAAAATAATTATGCTCATCTGACCTTAATCTGACCTTAATTAAGTAAAGGCCTAAAACCCCTGAGATTTTGGGGGCTCCGCCCCTGGACCCCACGCCAATTAGTGTCCTTGCAGTGTATCAAAATTTATCAAAATATGTTCATCTGACTGCATGTAATTAACTGCTGCCCACCCACCCCCATCCCCCCAGCTTCCGGGGGTTCTAGACCCCACCAAAGGCCCCGTGGCGGGCCGGTGGATGCTAATCTGATCGTAATTTATTGCTTAAAACCCCTGAGCTTCATGAGCTAGGCTCAGCCCCTGAACCCCACACCAATTAGTGACCTGCCAGTTTCACTAATAAGGTGCCAACATTTGCTCATCTGACCGTAATTAAATGCCTAAAACCCCTGAACTTCCGGGGCTCCGCCTTTGACCCCCGCCTGGGCTTTATACCTAGACCCCACGCCAATTTACGCTATACGCTCTGCCTGATCGTAAATAATTTTGCCCCCCCCCCCCTCCCGCATTTTGAAAAAACGTTCCGCGGGGCCTGCATGTAACACGTAAGAGTGGTGGTAATGCCGATTTTTATTCTGCCCCCCCCCCCCCTAAACAAAGTAATACATTGGGCGTCGTTTTGTGTTCAAATGTGCTGATATAGGGCATCATAGTTAAGGGGCATGTCTCTTGTTTGATGTTTTGAGTACTTAAAAATACTATGCCTGTAGGTTAGCTAAAATAAAAAATGTGTGTAAAAAAAATCACAAAGAGGGCGCTCTTCAAGTAAAGGCTTCGAAGCTCTTTAATCTGCTCGGAACCACTTCACAGACCAAAGTTTTGTTTTTCTTCATGTTTTCGGTGTTGTTTTGCTTTCTCTTTGTTTGTTTCTTTATGTTTGGATGAACAACAGGGAAGAAGGAGATGAGAGTAAACATATAGGTAATATTAATAGTGGTAGTAATTATTTCTCTCTTCACGCATACCTTTAGATATCCTTCTGCCTCCCCTCCCTCCCCCTCTCCTCCTCCCCATCTCTCACCTCTCCCCCCCCTCTCCTCCTCCCCATCTCTCACCTCTCCCCTCTCCCTCTCCTCCTCCCCATCTCTCACCTCTCCCCTCTCCCTCTCCTCCTCCCCATCTCTCACCTCTCCCTTCCCCTATATCTCCCCCCCCCCCCCGCTCTCTCTCTCTCTCTCTCCCTCTATCCATTTTTTTGCCTATCTCTTATCTCTATCTATGTCTTGCTTCTCCCTCTTTTCTTTTTCTAAATTTTGCCATGTTTATTATTTTTCTTCTTCTTCTTCTTCTTCTTCTTCTTCTTTTCTTTCTCCTTCTTCTTCTTCTTCTTCTTCTTCTTCTTCTTCTTCTTTTTCTTCTTCTTCTTCTTCTTTCTTCTTCTTCTTCTTCTTCTTCTCTTCTTCTTCTTCTTCTTCTTCTTCTTCTTCTTCTTCTTTTTCTTCTTCTTCTTCTTCTTCTTCTTCTTCTTCTTCTTCTTCTTCTTCTTCTTCTTCTTTTTTATCATTATTATTAATATTATCGTTATTATAATAATTATTATAATTTCTATAACCAGTCCAGCACTCGATTAAAAAAAATAAAAAATAAATAAATACAATACAATAAAAGGGGACATTTTCTCGAACCCCGTTCAGTTTACCAACATTTCAAAAATAATGCCACCACCTAATATACAGCTACATCCCTTCCCTGAATTCGTATCCGGCCAAAATTTCCCCCACAACTGCCAAAAAACAATTTTCACCCGGCCAACTACCTCCAGCCAAACTTGATGTTTGAATATGGTTGATTGAATGTTGTTTATGTTAGGGTTATTTTGATTATGATTATTAAAAAAACTAAAACAAAAAAAATTGAAAGTGGCATTTTTTTATTATTAAAGGGATGACCCAAAAGTGAAGGATGGTGATTGTTGAGGTTAATAGATGTTTCTGAACATACTGACGTTATAGGAATATAACGGCAATCATAGCTCGATTTAAAAAAAAATGGATCAGTGTGCATGCCGTTACATAGGAAACGAAGAAAGCACAGGTTTAACCATATAGGAATACAATTTTTTTAATTTTAGATGGTCAAAAAAGATATGTAAATCAAATTTTAAAATTTAATTCTTAATTTGTATGCAGGCTATTTAAAATTAAAAATGTGTGGGTGTAAATAGTCAAGATTGACTGATTGACAGTTTCCCGGGGCCATGCAAGAAGGTTCACAGAAGCAACTCTACCGCCACTTACGTTGGATTTTGCCAGTAAAGTCTCGCTTCTTTGAATTACCTGTCAGTCAGTCTCATTTCATACCTGAAGATCATGAACTGTACAGGTGTGCATCTAATGTATTAACATGCATCGTTTCTCTGAACCCTTTGAACCCTCCAGCTTTTCAATTAGTCTACAGATACAGACTCGGTTTTGACACTTACACATCATACTTTCAAGCCCAATTGATAGTTCAAGCCTGTTTGGCCCAACTGTGTTGGCTAGCTGTCTCCCGGGCTGTCTCAAGATAATGACAGGAGCAGTTACAGCACAGGATCTACGGAGTTCAATCTTCATAGTCTTAAAATTTCAAACCCTCTAGTGCATGTTACCACTGACACAAGGGTCTGAACTTGAAAACTAGGCTCCTTCGCTTCCAATCAGCCCAATACACACACACAGGGGAAAGAAGAAGAAAAGGGGAAATACATAAAGAAAGGAAATAATAACCTCACCCCCTCCTCTCCGTCTCACCTGGTCGAGTGTTTGGCTGAATCTGAAGCGCACCTCCTGTACAAATCTTCGTCACCCCCTGAACAATGGCTCGGGTGTTAAGACGACCACTTCAACGCCACCGCTAATGGCTTCCCAATACCGCATTGATCCGCTAGCCAAACTTCTCAGGCATGTTCGTAATAATTCACTCATCGAATATTGGATTCTACCATCCGATGCTCCCTCCCATCTCCCTGGTTATACCTTACAACGTACAAGTAGTTGTTCCGTGTTCGAGCGGCTCTTCTCTCCTCCAACGATCGAATTTGTAAGTGTTGGAATCTGCGTGAATTGAAATTCACAGAAAAATGATTATAACAAAAAGTTTATTGGATTTTTCAGCTATAGCTTTTGGTATATAAATATGTAAACTTGAATTGAAAATTAAGGGGTTGGTAAAACTTTTCTTTGTGTACTTAGGTATTCCACGTTGGCTTTGAGGGGCCATGGGCCGCACGTGACCCCTAAATCCGCCAGTATATCCTGAATGAACATTTCAACGATAACTTATATTTGGAGTGTTCTTTCTTCACAAAAGCCATTCCAATCACTCCCATCTCTGGTCATCGACGTTGTTGTTGTTTTATATGTTATCATTTAACTCATTGACTCCTGGAACCGGAGGGCTCCTGTATTAAGACTGTGGCAATTAAACAATTCAGTAGTGAACGGGTTAAAACTTAGAATAACATGATTTAAATTACTTCATAGCGTTTGGAGCAATAGAACAACTAAAGAATGAAACGCTTCATTTTCTCAATAATTGTGTTTTACAAGTTTCTCAATGTCGTGTATGTAATTTGTTTGACGTAGAGATTTTTGATACGTATTTTGATTAAGAAGTAAGATCATATATCAACACATAATCCTCATTAATTTCCAAAACTTTGCTTGAAACTTCCCGAGATCTTTTGTCAGAACAAATGTACAAATATTGAACCACGAGAGAATGCGCCTAAATTGATATAAATATGAAACAATAATATGCCATTGAGAAACAATAAAAGGTGAATTGCCACAAAATAAACTGGGAGCTATGGAATATAAAAAGGTGACTTAGATTGAATATAGATCATGATTAAAAAATGGAAATTGA